AATTAAAAAAACGAAATTTGAGGGAAAAAAGAAAAGAAAAAAAAAAAAGAAGATCAGGCATCCTAAGTCATGGAAAGAACTTCTACTTGGCTCTCTGAATGCTCATATAAGAAAGTCAGATATCCCAAAACACTATACCACAAGGAAGTTCAAGCCACAAAGAGAGACCACACATAGATGTTTTGGTTGACAGCTACTCTGAGATCCAATCCAATAATCACTAGAAGGTTGTTACAAACAAAGTAACAAGCTATTAAATTTTTCTTGCCCCTAAGAATATAAGGAACCCTTAGCTGTCAAGCCTTCTCATGGCCTAAATAAAATGAAGCCGTTAAAAGCCATTTCTAACTATGCCTTGTCATAATTCCTGATCCATTAAATCCTTGTACATAATAAAAGTCATTTATATTATTAATATCTAGAGTACCGTATTGTTTAGCAACAGTAACTGAAACAGGGTTAGACCAACACAATGAGGCAGTTCACAGCAGAGTTCAGGATGTACAATGTCTGTTAGGCACTGCACACTGCAATAGTTAAAACACTCCCAAACCCACTCCAAATTATCTAATAAAATACTGTCCCAAATAGATAATCAAGAGCAGTGAGACATGTATAACAGTAGAACTTAAGAGTGTTAGATTAAGAAATAAAACACAGGATAAAAAATTGTTTATACATTAGTTGGTACTCTCCCATTACCAAGGATGTAATACCATGGCCATTCCAATACTTTGAGGTGAAGGCTCCTTGAATACTAAAGCACAATAATTTATCGAAGAGACCACTGACTGCTGACACTGGCAGTGCATTTGAGGGAACCACTGCTTTTTCGAGTTGCTCTCTTACAATCTCTGTCCAGTGGTTGGGATGGCCTGTGGAAATCAGAGAGAACTTTCCCTCACAACAAAGAAACAACAACAACAACAAACCAAATCCATAAAGAAAACCCAGGAAATTAGCAAGAAGTAAAGGAAAGAGGTCAACTTGACTACCTGTCAGAGTAAAAAGAGGGATTTTGAGATCATGCAACAAAACCAGAAGGCAGCTAATGAGAAGTCTTTGCAGAACAGAGAAAAATGATGACTGGCTAATTTTGAAAACTTGGGTGCTACTGCTAACTAGGTGTGTAATACATTCTAAGATCAAGATTACGTAGAGTGAACTGTCAATACATATGTTATCACTTATCCTTATAAAACAGTCTATATTAAACTTTACCTTTTGACCTGATTTAGTGTGATGTTTTAGAGCTCCTCTTTGAAAAATAAAACATCAAGCATGCATGCACCATAAAAAAAAGCCACAATAATTTCTCAATATAAGATGAGTAATTGTGAAGGGATCAGAAGTCTTGGTTAAAAAGAACACTAGAGGCTGGAAAACAAAATTTAATAAACAGTCATCCCAGGTAGTGTGAGGAAAGCAAAAGTGTCAAATTACTGCAATGAAATAAAATTCTAGTAGAAAATCTAAAGGCGGATGTATATGAAGATCTAGGGATTACTCAGCAATGCAGTAGCCTAGTGGCACACTGGCATCAACAATGGGTTCAAACATACCCATAATTATGGAGAGGACACAATACAGGACACTGTTTTGTGCTGTTGTACATAATGTCCCTCTGAGCTGAAACCAACTTAATGGTAACAAACAACAGAAACAACCTGACTCCAAAACCTTTGTCCTTGACCACTGCAAAGGCTCATTCATTATTAACACAAATCCAAGTGAACTAATCAATCATTCATATGTTGTTGTTATGTGTGGTCGAGCCACCTATGACTCATAATGAACCTATGTACAACAGCCCTACACCCTGCTCTATCCTGTGCCAATCAATTCATCTCATTGAGGGTCTTCCTCTCTTGTACTGTCCTTCCCCCATCCCAAGAATGGCATCCCTCTCAAAGGTCTTATCCCTCCCTGCAACATGTCCAAAGTATGTCAGACGAAGCTTCAGAATCCTTGCCTCCAAGGAGCAGCCTGGTCTCACCCTCTCTAGGATGAACTGGTTGTTCTCCTAGCAGTCCATGGTATATTCAATACTCTTCTCTAGCACCACAGATCGAAGGCATCAATTCTCCTTCTATCATCCCTAGTTATTGTCCAAATTTCTGATGGATAATTCTTGACCTTCTAAACCAAGCACTTCAGGTCCTCCTCAATTTTAGCCAGCAAGCAAGGTTGTGTCATTTGCATAATGCAAATTGTTGATGAGTCTAACTCCAATCTTTATGCCACATTATACATAAGAAAAATGCACATATGAGAAGTCAGATTGGGAAATTTTTTTTTATTTCAGGTTTTTAGTAAGGGATTGAATAAGAACATAGTTGTTGTGGTGGTGGAAGTGTACTGTCAGGTCATAAGTGACCATAGCTGAACCTCTGGCAGGTTTTGAGATGCAGTTAATTACACAGAAGGAGACTGTCCTTACTTCTCCCTAGAACAGCTGGTATATTCAAACCATGTGCCTTCAAGATTGTAGTGAAGCTTCTTGCCACTAGGCCACCAGAGATCCCTAGAATACAATTAAGGAAAAAATATCTGGGGAAGGGACTTGCATTATTTCAAGCTGTAGGTAAATCAAGACAAGTCTTTAAAATGTAATTTTTTTAAACATGTAAGTCATTCTGATTCTCAAAGATTTGTTATGTCTTTAACTTTGGTAAAAAAAAATAAAAGGTTTTTTTTCTAGGTACCAAATACATCCTGGACAGGTGACTAGTACATAAATCAAAGAAAGTAGAAAGCATTCTTTATAACTATTGTTGTTGATTACCTTTGAGTTGAGCACAACTCATAGCAACCCTCTGAACAAAAGGCCTGAAGCCCCTCTGCAACTATCAACATTTATCAAAGTTCACAGAGTTTCCAGAGGCATGGTATTTAGGAAGGGGATACCACTCCATTATTGTGGAAAATATTTAGGTCTAAAGGACAGAGGGAAACTGCAATAGATGGAATAAACAATACTTAAAGAGGTAAAAAGGCAAAATCTTCAATGACCCAAAAAACATCAAAGAAGATAGAAGAAATATACAAAGTCACTGTTCCAAAAAGAACTGGCTGACAGAACCAATTCTGGAAGTAGCAGGTGATCCAACAGAATGTGAAAATTACAGAACATTATTACTAATATCACACGCAAACAAAATCTTGCTAAAGAATATCCAAAAATCAACCAGAACAGGACATTGACAGGAAACTGCTAGAAATACAAGCTGGGTTTAGAAGAGGCAGTGGCACTAAGGATACCATTGATGATATCAGAGGGACCTTGGCTGAAAGCAGAGTACCAGAAAGATGTCTATTTGAGTTTTGTTAACTATGCAAATACATTTGACTGTGTTAATCATGACAAATTGTGTCTAACATTGAGAAGAGTGGGAATTCCAGAAACAGTCAAGGATATATCTTTTCTCCATACTTTTTGAATATATATGCTGAACAAATCATTCAAGAGGCTAGACTTTAAGAAGAAAATGGCTTCAGCATTGGAGGAAGACTCGTCTACAACCTGTGTTACACAGATGATACAACCATGTTTGCCAAAACTGAGGAGGACTTGAAGCATTTGCTGCAGAAGATCAAGGGCCACAGCCTTCCATATGAAATGCATTGCAACATCAAGAAAACAAAGACCCTCTTCACTAGGCCAATAGAGAGAGGAAGAAAAGACTGAAGTTGTTAACTATTTCATCTTGCCCAGATCTACAATCAACACCCTTGGCAACAGCAGTCAGGAAATTCAAAGATGAGTAGCATTGGAAAATTTTGCTGTCAAGGACTGTTGAAGAGTGCTAAAGAGCAACAATATCAATTTAGAGACTAAAATGCACCTGATCCATGCCATAGTCTTCTCAGTTACTTGCTATGCATCTGAGAGCTGGACAATGAATAAGGATGACAGAAGAACTGATGTCTTTAGATTGTGGTGCTTGAGAAGAATACTGAACATACCATGGACTGCCATGAAAACAAACAGGTCTGCCTGGAGAGGACAAAACCCGGTTGTTCCCTGGAGGCAAGGATTTTGAAACTCCATTTCACATACTTTGCGCATGTTGTCAGGAGGAGTAAGTCCTTGAGAAAGGACATCATTCTTGAAAGGTTGGGGGGTCAAGCACAGGATAGAGGGGTCTTGGATGAGATGGACTGACATAGTTGACACAGTGACTGGGGTCAGGTGTGTCAGAGAGAGTTAAGCTGGCCCAGCAGACGGCGAGGTTCAGAGTCATAGGATCACTGTGTGTCATGCTGTACTCAAGGGCACACAACAACACTTGTTCATCATTCAGACACACACACATTATCAAAAGCAAACAAAACCTATGATCATTTCAAGAGGAAATAATTTTTACCATCTGCAGAAAAGCAATTTAAATGATAACATTTTATGAATATCAATCATATGTCATTCAGAATGTAAGATTCAGGATATAAAGAGGTTAACAAACAGAAACTTGAAAGTTGGGAGTTCACGAAAATGTAAATAAAACATATAAAGCAATTAATGTTTCCTTTGGTCTTGGAAATTATCAATTGAAAATGTTATCTAATTGTGTTCTTACATGGAAATCTCCTACCTCTCAAAACACAAGTTTTGTACATGTACATGGCATACAGAACCATGTACATAATTATAAGGCACTTCATGACACAGAATGCATCCAAATCATGCAAATACTGTTTTTCATCAAAATAATAATACCTGGAAAAGTATTTTATAAGAACGAAACTGTTATATAAATTTCATTATAATTACCACGCATTAAATTTCCAATCTATGATGCAGCAACAAAAAACAGAGCATCTTGGTTTTCAGTATTTTCAACTTAATTGTACCAAAATGTCTCTGTCTGACATTTATTCCATTTTGGTGGAATATTAAATAGGTTATATATCATACTGAATTTTCAAACAGACTTTTATTTTGAAAAAGAATTTAAATCTCACAAGACAATTTCAAAAGGAAAAGTTTTTACTATACTCACCACTTTCAAAACAAGCATCAAAAATGAGATGTCCTTTCTTGGGCAGTCCACAGTATCCAGCTGGAAGTACTATATATTTGCTCACATTTCCTCCGATGGCATCATCAATTCCCATATCATTGCCTATTTTATTTAAAAAAATATATTAGACATAAATAAAAATAGTCAGTTATAAGCATACTAAAAAATTAAAAGTCCAATAGAATTTCTTCATTAATTTTCTCCTCCCCCTGTTGTGTCCTGTTGTGCACTGTTTACCTAGGCAGTAAAAAGTAACGATATTCTAGGAAAAACTAGAAATAAATTGTATTTTTAAATTATAAAAGTATGTAATAAAATCTCTACCACTACAAATTATTTGTAAGTCCAAAATCATTTATTTCATTCCCTTTAATTTATTTCATTCCCTTGAGTTTCAACTTCTCTCATAATAAAAAGAGAGCACTAAAAACTACTTTCAAAATTGTGTTTTAAGAGTTAAATCTCTAAAACAAGCTATGATAACTAAAACCCAGATGTTCCTTCTTGTTGTTGATATGTGCCTTCAAGTTGGAACTGACTCACTACTGACCCTCCATCAGGTTTTCAGAGGCAGTAAATCACATGGGAGGAGATTTCTCATCCTTCTATGGAGCAGCTGGTGAATTCAAACTGTGTGCCTTTGGAATTGCAGTGTAGCACCTTCCCACTAGGCCACGAGAACTTCCTAGATGTTTATCAGTTATTTAATAAGTGGTTGTGCATTATATTTTTTCATAAATACACATGCATTTCTTTTAATATGAATAAAGCAATAGAATTAAAATTAACAGTGACTTCCAAATGCCCCAACATATGTTATAAAGTAGTGAGTTGAGAAACCATGGAATGAACACAGAAATATTATTTCTTGCTAACAACAAAATTTTTTTTTAAAATTTGAACTTTGACTTGAGATACAGAAAGCTCTGAAGGGCATTACTTTCACCTTAACAATAAGAACAAGGTGCTAAATTACAAAATAATAACTTTCATCAAATCCACCAGAAACTGAGGTTAAAGGGTAACAAAATAATGTATGCAAGAAAATTTAGATCCTAACCTTCCCCACACAAAAAGTAAATAAATAAATAAAAATTAATAGAAAGCAAGCAATGACTCATTTAGAGCAAAGCCCAGGAGGAAGAGATGTTGACTCTTAAATACAGATAAAAGTTACAGAAAACTTCTCATCAGAAATTAAACAAACCAAAAGCAAAACAAGTAATATCTCTAAACGAGTTAAAGGGGGGATAAAAAGTCATCATAGCATTCTACACCAGAAAAAAAACCAAAAACAAAACACCACATTTCCAAACTGAAGGATGCAATAAAAATATACTGTGAAAAATCAAAGCTTAGAGAATTTATTCTCCGCATCCCTTTAGTATCAGAAATATTAAAGAGCATTCTTTAGAAAGAAGAAAAATGGTGTCAGAATTAAACTAGAATTTTAATTTTAAAAATATTAAAGGGCTCCAGAAAATACAGATAATACTCAAATTTTTTTCTACCATTTTTAATCACTCAAGTACTTGCTACAGAATTACAGCTTTTAATATGGATTACATATCAATATCAAGGAAATCAAGATCCTTACCACTGGACCAATAGGCAACATCATGATAGACTAAGAAAATACTGAAGTTGTCAGTGGTTTTATTTCACTTGTATTTACAATTGACATCCCTGGTATCTATCTACATCCCAGAAATAAAAATATGTTGCACTGGGGGAAAATTGCTGTCAAGATGATCTTCAAAGTGCTAAAGAGCAAGGATGTCAATTTAAAGACTAAGGTGTGCCTAACCCAAGCCATGGTTTTGTAAATTGCTTCTTTGGCATCTAAAAATGCAAATAATTAATGAGAATATCAGAAGAAAAATGAATGCCTATGAATGATGGTGCTGCAAAAAAGTATTGAAGATCTATGGGCTGCCAAGTGAACACATAAATCTTCCTAGGAGAAAATGTGGTCAGGGTGCTCCTCAGAGGCAGGTGAAACTCTTTCTCACACATTCAGGGCATGTTGTCAAGAGAGGTCAGTTCCTGGACAAAGAAGTCATGCTTGGAAAGGTG